TCCATTTGCTACTATATATATATATATATATATATATAGTAGCAAATGGACTACTCAAGTGACGCACATATGGATTTTAATACAGCCTGTTTCGTAGACCAACAAAAGTTGATCCACTCATCAGTTAAACTCCATACACACTATTTAAACAATGCTCTGCCTTGGCATAAAGTACTGAATGCTGTGTTAGCAGAGCTGGGTATACATTAGCTGAAGAATCAAAGAGGACGCATCGATTCTCTGTTACTCTTCGTTTCGCGCCGAAGCGAAACTGTGCTTCGTAGAATACAAATAACGCGCGACATGAGTACAAATGTTATGCAATATTTGTATTCCAGAAACATCAGCGAGACTCGTCCGCACTGAAGTAACGATTTAGCATGTTGGATGATAAATCTCTTTTTGGACGGTTTGTTGTGCAGCGTCCCTGAGTATTTGATCTATTTCACAATCCTATTATACCACTTAAGGCAGAATCTCCGTTAGAACAGTCAGGTCGATTTCGCCAGAGGACAGATTTCGCTGATTTCATGTGTATTAAAAAAATTCATGTAATAATATCAAAAACAGAAACCACTCTTCCTTTTGTCGAGTTTTACCGAAGTCATAGCATACTCAGCGAACGGTTGTCATGATAATGATTTTCAAGATCTTAGTTGCTGACGAAACTTCTAAGGAAAATTTAGAAAAAGCTGAGAAACTCAGTTTAAAACAAAAACCACTGGCGCGTATATTATGTCTATCTCATCCATTTAATCGACTTTAGTAAGCAAAAGTTATCAAGGAAGCTCGTGGAAAGACTTCAATGAACCCCTTCCGGTTCTTTACGTTTGACTTTGGCGAAAATCGACCAGACCGCCCTTGCGGAGAGTCTGATCAACTGTTTACTGACTTGAACAATCCGGCCAGCGAGAGGTTGGAAGCCACTTCCCAGAGCTTCCGCAAGCCCATATGCTTGCACGCAACGGTTGAGCAAAGTCCCATAGGTTGTTACAGAGTGGAGCGCAAAACCGACCAAACATCCAGTCATCACAGGCCTTTGCTCCATTTTTGGGAGGTTTCATATCCACACAGTCTTTTGCTGAAAACGAAACGTACAAGTGAGTTATGTTCTGATCGCTCGTAAGTTTCATCTCTTCATTTTAGGGGTCTGCTTTCGTTTAATTAAGTAAATATTATTGTCCGAATTTTCAACCAAATAACAAAAAGGATTTTTGATTACGGAAGTCGATAAGGATTTACTTGATACCGATTTCCCTTCTTACTTGCTCAGAAATTGTTTGCATCTTGATAAGTGACCAATTTGTTGGTCAGCTCGTTATTAAGTTTACTGGTTTGTTTGTTTTCCGTTTAGACCTCCTTGTTGTTATACGTTTTGTTTAATAAAGGGGGGAACAAATTTTCTATGTAACTACTTACGTTTTATTATCAAAGTAAACTGGCAAACAGCTGGTTGATTATTTGGGTTTTTATCGTACGCAACACAATGTACGTTCCAGGTTCCCCAGTAAAACTCAGTTCCGCTTTGATGACTGCAATGGATGGTTAAGGGATCATTGCTGTTGTCTTTAAATTGTGGGTTGGTCCACGTCACTAATACTTTCATTTGCGTCGCAGTGATATTTTGATCTGGTGGGCAGTAGGTAACGACAGGTCCTACTTCATCTGTGACAAAAGGATAGTAAGTATCAATCCTTTTTCTTAAAAGTACAGTGTAAGAATAACTGGTAACTATAGGCTCAAATAGCTCCCTTATATACTGGAACATATTGGCAACCTCGCGTCTTATTTTGGTTCAAACATACTTTCGCCTCTTTAAAATCTAAGACGTCATATGATAAATATTCGTTCACTGAGTTATGATGGGTTGTATCTTGGCCATGACGCACGGACCGAGCTGGGCTCGTGTTTCTCATCAGAACGGTTCACAATCGGTAAATAATCGGAATTTGCAGCACCCGTGTAGTGTGGCGGCGTTGTTTAGCAAATTTGGTAACCATCAAGCCGAGAAAATTTGGTCCTCCATGCGTCCATAAATACGTACGAGATGTACAACCGGTCATCTACATTTCGGGCACATCATACCGTTACATTATTCTTGTTCAGCAGGCGACTCAACCACGCAAGAATTGCATATAGTCGGTAGGACGTCTGTTAAAGCTAACCAGAGACGGAAAACTGAACATAAGAGAAAGAAGGAACAGGCCAAGAGCGAAAAAAAGTGTGATTTTCAATTACATACATTTTATTGTGTTTTGGGATAAAAGTACAGTAACATGCCCGCGGGTAGCTAAGCTAATCTAGGCGGGTCATGTTTACAGGAAATAGATGCAACTAAATACAGCTAAAAGTAACAAGAGAAATAAAAAGCTAAAATTGACAACAATGATTACAGACTACTGATAAACTAATGATATTACTAATAATAAATAACAACAGTCTTGACGGGAGATTACTGATGAATTAAACGATATAATTGAATACCTATCAACTGATCAATCAAGAGGAAGATAAATTCAACTTAACTTTTTCAACGATTTCTGGAAGATCAAGGTAACAATCGTCTGAAGCTAGGATCTCGGAAAGTGTTTGTTTTATTTTCCTCTTGAAGACAATTTTTGAAAGTTTTCTAAAAGATACAGGCATTTCATTCCATATTTTTGTCCCGATTCTAGAAAATGAATTCACTTGAATTGAGAGTCTGGAGCTTTGTATGTAAAATTTATTAGAAGTAGAGGATCGAGTATCATAAGAATGAATATCAGAGACATCTCGAAAAAGATTTGGAATGTTTCCAGGAGCAGTACTGTATCTTATTTCAAACATATGGTTAGCTAAATGCTCATAATACAAAAATTTTAACCGTAAGACACCGGCGTCGATAAATAAAGGAATTGCATGTTGATTTCGCTCTGAGGAAAAGATAAAGCGAAGAGCTCGCTTTTGAAGCATGAAAAGCTTTTCAGGGTACGATTTATATGCTTGACCCCAGGCCGTCAAACCATAGGTTAAATAAGGAGCAACAAGGGATCAATAAATAGTTAAAAGAGTATGTCTTGGCAGAAAATGCCGTAGTTTACAGATCAATCCCACAGTTTGACTCATTTTAATAGCTACGTGGTCAATATGATGTTTCCAGTAAAGGTTATTGTCAATTATTATACCTAGATATCTCACGAATTCTTTACATTCTAGAGCCATATTATTATTTTGATCGTTGTCGAATACCATTATTTTGGGATGATAGGTAAGTTTCCTCTGAGTCGGTCTAAAAATTACGAAATTTGTTTTTTTAATATTCAAGGTTAGTTTATTGGCAGTTAACCAATCGAACAACTGACAGAGCTCCTGATTTACAGTGGACTCAAGGGACTTGACATTTTTGTCAGCATATACAGCGTTCTTGTAATCCGCAAATAAAAAGAATTTAAGTTTTTCAGAAGATTCTTGGATATCGTCGATATAGATTAGAAAGAGTATTGGGCCTATGACAAAACCTTGCGGCACCCCGCAAGTGGTATTTTTTCGTTTAGATATAGAGGAACCAATTTGTGTCGTTTGAGTTCGACCTTCTAAGTAAGATGAGGACCATTTACTTATAACACCACGAAAACAATAGTGATCCAGCTTGTGTAAAATAATTTTATGATCGACAGTATCAAAAGCCTTTTCAGGTCAATAAATACACCACATGAGAACAAGCGCAGGCCCATGTTTTCCAGGATGGTACTTACAATGTCAAGAATTGCACGTTGAGTTGAGTGCGCTTTGCGGAAGCCATATTGAGATGAAGAAAGTATGTCATTTTGGTCAATGAAAGATTCCATTCTAGAGAAGATCAAGTTTTCGAAGATCCTATTAAAATAGATAGCAAAGAAATAGGCCTATAGTTGTTTGCGATAGAGTTATCTTTAGCTTTAAAGATAGGAATAGTTTTTGCCATTTTTAGTTTAGTGGGATACATCCCAGTTGAAATAGAAAGATTTACTATTTCAGCGAGAGTACTGCTGATAACATTTCACGACTACTTCAACAGTTAAGTGGGACAGGAATATAAACCATGAGATTTGTTAATTGGTATGCGCAAAATTTCCGATCCAACTTCAGCTGGGGTAATTAGGTTGAAGGCAAACGAAGAGTCAGGAGAGTTAGATCTGATTAGAAGTCGAAATAAGTCTGCTGAACGGTTGGTAACTTATTTGCCAGTTTAGGTCCAATAGAAGCAAAATGGTCATTAAAAACATTGGCTATTCTACTTGGGTCGCTAGTGGCAGAATCATTGTTATTAGGGTCCTTAATAAAAGTAATAGGTTTTGTGTTCCTCGATTTACGTGCAAGTACATTGTTTATGCCTTCCCATGTTCTTTTCAAATTATTTTAGTTATCAATTTAGAGTAATATTGCTGTTTACTTAAACGCGTTAAAGTGCAAATGTTGTTACTATAGATTTTATAATTGGCGGTGTTACCAGACGCATATAACTTATTTTTAATTTTAATGGTAATTCTTAGACCTTTGGTAATGCATGGTTTAGAGAATTGTTTTGCTTTGTGGTGTGAAATTATTTTCATAGGTGCATGTTTATTTATTAATGAGTTAAACTTGTTATGAAAAGAAGAGAATAAATTGTCCGCATTGCACGCATTTTTATTTAAGAGTGCATTTCAATCCACATGAGAGAGATCAGCATCAAAATTGTCCTTAGAGAATCTAGAGAAGAACTTTTTTATCTTAGTATTATCCTTCATAGATTTAAGAATACAGAATTGCGAAAAATGATCACTTATGTCTGAAATTATATTTCGACAAGCCCCAACTTGATCAGGATTATTAATAAATATGTTGTCAATTAGGGTGGCGGAAGTAGAGCGAACACGTGTTGGTTTGTCAATTGAGGGAAAGAGGAAACAACTCTGAGGGGAAGACAAAAAATCGCTACTATACGAAGAAGATGCGCAATTTAGATGGTCAATGTTAAAATCACCCATGATTATAATGCGTTTCCCAGAGGACACAAGTTTTTCAAAAGTCTCATCAAAATATGATTGAAAAACTTCCGATGAGTTATGCTGTCTGTAAAAGATTCCGCAGATAACATTTTTCTTATTCACAACGGAGAACTCAGTCAACAATACCTGGAAAGCTTCATTAGAGGTCTTTTCTAAGATACGATAATCAAGCGATTCGTCAATAAACATTCCAACACCCCAGACACCAGGGCCGTTGGAACATATTCAAATACGTAGCCTGGTATGTGTGCTGTGCACAGTTGCGAATTAGCATTAGTGAATTTTGTTTCGGTAACGCCGATGACATTAAAATGAAAATCTACTTCATGTAAACGTTGAGTTTGAAGATTTTCCAGGTTAAGATTAAGACTGACTACGTTGTTATGAAAAACAGAAAAGCTAGAGACAGTCTCATCCTTTGATAACTTCATTTTCATTTTCTTAAAACTATAAGGGAGATATATCGACTAATTATTCTGTCAGAGGAGTAATCGGTGGGGTTCAACTTATGATCTAGGGTTGTATTTAAGGAAAACAAATCTAAGTCATATAAGCTAGTAAGCTTGTCTAATTCCTTTTTAGTTTTAAATGTGGTCGACACTGAATTATTAAAGTGGCCATTAATTTCTGCCAAATTTCCAGAACAACCATAATACTCAAGTTTCAGGCTAACCAAATCTTAGGTTAGCCTGGAACTTTCCTATTAGGATTTTAAGAACCCTCTCTTCATCATAATTGACAATGATCTTCCATGGGTAAGAATGAGGGGGGGGGTGTGTGAAAAGGGTATCATCTAAAAACAAGCAAATAGATGTACAGCTCAAATACTAAGTTAACACAATGTTTGAATGTTTCACTCATTGTTCAATAAATATTGATTGTTATACATGTAATAGAACACATTCAATTTTTAATTTTTATAATCCTGAGGTTTACCAATGAATGAAAAAATATACATCAAAATATTTGGCTTTGTAAAGTCAGTAATAATTTTTCAAAGGATTACGCAAGTTGTATAAATACATAATTATAGAGTATTTTGTATCTAAACCTTTAATGCTCCTACACAGAGCTCTGTCTTTGTTTATGCAGGTATATATCTGTCCTAAATGACTAACTGATGACAAAATGC